TACAATTGAACCTCAAAAAAAGATAAGTAGCCAACGATGAGCTCAAAGAGATCATAACAGACAGAAATCTTGACATACAGGTAGCACTAGTGCAAGAACCATACCACTGGAATAACGCGATTTCAGGTATGGGCAGTATCGCGGCCATTCAAGGAGCCGAAAAAGGCGAAACGATTCAAGCTGCGATACTCTACAATCCGCACAAGGTCACAGCTACCAAGATTTCTAATCTGTGTGACTCCCACTGTGTTTGTGTACAAGTAGTCCGAGCCTTTGGTGAAATTTATTTCATAAGCATCTATTGCCAGTTCAGCCACAGCAGGAAGACCTATCTTGACAAACTAGCTGAGACTCTGAAGCAATTGAAAGGCCAAAGAGTCTTAGTTGGAATGAATGCAAACGCCAAGTCAAAGATCTGGTCTAACACACAGGATAAGAATGGAATAGTCATTGAAGAATTCATAGACCGATACGGGCTAATAGTGGCTAACAGGAAGGGCCAACTTCCAACGTGCCGTAGTACGAGGGGAGAGACGGATATCGATGTAACTTTGCATACATCAAATCTGTCAAACCTCTTGGCTAGCTGGACGGTGAAAGAATGGACAACCAGTGACCACAGGCCCATAGTGATCGAACTGGATTTTGCCTCACAACCAGCTAGATTCATACGAACCGTAGAAACAATAGAACCCAAGGTTTAATATGAGAAAAGCTGATTGAGAGAAATTTGGAAGACTTTGTAAGTTCGAGAAAGAGAACCTATCTAAGCTCCCTTTAGAAACCTCTGAAGACATCGAAACATATGTTTCAAAATTTGAAGAGGTTTTAATAAGAGCAGCAAAGGACTCCATTCCATCAAAAATAAGAAGAACGCGCTCTCAACCCTGGTGGAATCCAGGCTTGCGAAGTAAGAAGCGAGCGATACAAAGACAACGCAAAATCGTCTCTCTAAAGACAAGGAAGGACCGAATAGAAAACAAAGGAAAGCCCTCCAAAGATCACTTGAAAAATTGAGTCAATTGAATTCTGAATATGCAACGGCTATTAAAAGAGCCAAAAACAAAAGCTGGTGAGATTTATGCACTATTGAAAGCGAAAAGAATGTTTGAGCGCATCCATACAAAGGAGCATCCAACAAAGTCAAAATCTCAAAAGCGATGTGCACGGTTAACCGCAATGGTTCAGTTACAAAAGACTGGAAAGAAAGAAGCATGCCTCTACTAGAAGGACTAATGCCTGATGACTCAAACTGCGAAAATGATGCACATGCAAAGATTTGCAGAGATATGCGGGAGGTTCCAGTAACCGGCGATGCAACGCCTTTCCTAACAAGGGAAGTTGAAATGGCCCTTACAGCGAATAAAGCAGAGAAATCACCAGGCAAAGATAGAATAGAGTCAGAAATGCTTGTTAATGCAAAACCATTACACCAGGAACTGACGCGACTTTTCAACACCTGCTTAAAATGCGGAGTGTTCCCCAGAAGATGGAAAAGTGGAATGCTAAACACATTGCTCAAAGGGGTTGAAAAACCCGAGAACGAGATTAAATCATATAGACCCGTATGTCTACTCCCCATAGCTAGGAAAACACTCGAGAGGCTTGTGATTCAAAGAATATCCAATATTCTAAACAGCTCGGACTGGTCTTCGGAGAATCAATTTGGCTTCAAGGCAAATAGATCCACAGACGATGCCATTAGAAGACTATATGAAATAGTAGAAGAGGCAGAATCTGATCCGTCGATCAAGTACGTAGCCGCTATTCCACTGGACGTCTCAGGAGCATTCGATGCCTTATGGTGGCCAAGCCTGTTCTCCTAATTGAAAGAAAGAAATTGCCCGAAGAACATCTACAAGCTCCTCCAGAGTTACTTCAGTGATCGAGAAGTGGGCGTATATGCTCACTTCTAAGAAACACTAAAAACAGTGACCAAGGGGTGCCCTCAGGGTTCAGTATTTAGACCGGTAGGTTAGAATGTCATCTTTGACAAACCACTTCGGGCAATCAGGGACGCAGGATATGAAGTACTAGCCTACGCAGACGACGTGCTTCCCATTATTAACGCGACGACACGCGTTGATTTTGAAAAACAAGCCCAAGAAATCATTGATATAATGACGGATTGGTGCAAGTCTGATAAAATGAATTTGGCAGTACAAAAGTCAGCACTAATATAGCTAAAAGACTAACTAAGCGAGAATAGGAGCCCTACAGTCAAACAAGGAAAGACAACATTAGAACGCACAAAACAGTCAAGTATCTAGGAATCGCGATCTCGAAGAGCTTCCGATTGGAAGAAGACATTCGAAACGTGGTTCAAGACTGCAACAACACCTACTTCGAGCTAAGTAAAATAGCAAAAGCGAACTGGGGCCTAAAGTTCAATTCTTTGAAAAAGATATATAATGGCTTTCTACTATCGAAAGTTATATATGCCGCTGCGGGCTGGTGGCAAAGGACAAACACCAAACAGCAATCTGCTTTAGAAAGATTGCAGCGATCAATTCTTTGCAAAACACTCAAAGCCTACAAATCAATCTCTCATGAAGCGGCGCACGTGCTTGTAGTCGCCCGACCAATAGCTCTCAAACTCGACGGGAGAGTTGCAAAGTACTGCATTAGGAAAGGGAAATCGATAACACTGCACGGCATCCGAATAAAATCGGAGAAACTTCGATCGGGCAGACTAAAAATCACGAAAGCCATATAATTTATCAACGATGAAATCGAAAGGGTATGGCAGGAGAGATGGCAGTCAGCCACAAATGGCAGGAGAACGTACTGCTATTTCCCAGTAATCAAAGGTAGATTAAAGAAGAGGTGGCTAAACCTCAATCACTACACAGTACAGTTCATGACTGGACATGGTGCTTTTAAGTCATACCTCCATAAAAGAGGATTATACGAAGACCAACTGTGTAATTGTGGAGAAATAGAAAGCGGAAGTCATATTCTCTTTAACTGCGAAGAATTAAGGGAACTAAGAAAGTCATTAATAGAGGCCGTTGAAGAGGAGGGCCACATATGGCCTTGCCCAGAAACGGCCCTAGTTTTTAGCAGGAAAATCTACAAAGCCTTTGAAGACTTTGCTAGAAAAGTTATAGAGCCCAGGGAAGGAGCACCTATAACAAAGAGAAAGCGCAGAAAAGTAGTTACAAACTACGGTAGAAAAACGCCGCCTCTTACAAGGTCCCTAACCAAAGGACAAAAACTCTCACAATAACTAATCTAATTTTTTAACTTTGGCAAGCTAACAAAGCTTGAACTTTGAACGATAATTTTTGAGCATCGAACTTCAGAATTAAACTCCGAAGTTCAATCATTTGAACGCGAGTTAGAATACCCGATTTAGCCTAATATCGCAACTTGATTCGAATGTATGGAATGACTGACATGAATATTGAAAACTGCCTGGGGAACCGCCTTGTCGGCTAGACGAGACCACGCCCTGATCTAAAAGTCAAAAATATTAAATCGAAAGAGCAAACATCAGTATCAGCCAGTCATAAAAGCCATTCCATTGAAAGCGAAATCCGAAATTAGGGCAAAAACCGGGAAACAACTTTTTTGAATGACGGATACCCACCAGCGTGAGCGTGGAAGACCGAAACGCAATGGGGAGACGTGCCACGGTACGTCGAAGCGATGGACCTGTGAGTCGTAGGAGCAATCTCTTAATACATGTACGCAGGGTGGCATGTTCCGAACGTGAGCCCAGGAGGGGAGGCTTAGCTGGTTGATCGTCTTAGAAACTTCCTCTGGCTATCCTACCTGAGTCTCCCTTCTGACATCCCAATTTGGGTTGGTCTCTGCGGGGTAGTGGTACCAGGTCAAGCAAATCTCGTAAGATTTGTATGCCGCGCGCTTTCGACGCGGTAGACGTTGGGACAACTAGAGTCCCGTCGCGCCCAAACCGAGGGTCAAGCCTTTAGTTCCGCTCTCCCTGAGCGTCGAACTTTAAAAAGATCGGTACTCCTTTCGAGGAGGTCGCCGCCTTAGATTAAAAAAGGCTCCGACTCACTGTGTGCGTCAGGGATGTCGTAGCAAACTTGACTTCCGGATCTCCAAAGTACTTGAAAGACAGTGCGCTATGCCAATCTAGTGGCGCCCAGAGAGAGGGGTGGTAATGTTTGATTACGCTGTGCCACCCTCAAAACGGAAAAAAAACTGAACAACGCATACACTAACAGTCGAACTAGCGTGTGCACGAAGCTCTAAATTCAAACTGTTTTCAGACGCGTATAACGGGCATTCTATGATGTCTGTATTGTAGCATATCATCTTTGAAAATATGTAAAAAGTAGCGCATGCTTGCTTCATTGTGTTTATTTCGTGACATGAATTGATGCAAGTTTTTTTATTTTTGTGAACACACTTATAAATTTTGATCTCTTTAGGAGTTTGAATTTTAGAATTCAAATTCATTGTTTATGTAAAAATTGGAAAGTTTTCAAAAATACGTTGCAAAACGTAACAATAGAGAGAAATATTGTCAGACATTTCACTTGAACTGTAAGTGAAACAGATTTATACAGACAAGAGAATGTGAAGTACAACTACCAGCGTCACACACGCATCTAAAACTCAGAGCACATGTATATCAATATCTTTTCTACAATCTCTTTTTTTCATTTATTTGTGCCAAATTATTTTGTAATTTTAATCTGATGACAGATTCAATATATTCTATAACTTTTTTATTTCAAAATCATGTGTTATAGGAATGATTTATCTTCGATGTAAGATTCATAAAATATTCATAAATAAACATTTAATACTGTTTTGTATCAATTTATAAATAATTAATTTAATTTTATTTATTTTAAATTATTTTATATATCCAACCTCATAACGGATCAAAAGTCTCAATTGTACAGTGAAAACGATAATAACGTAACCATTACGAGTTGAAGAGGAAACACTGTTTATTAGATATAGTGTCACCAAAAATACTCTTAATACATTTTCAAATGATAAAATTCACATATACATACAGACTATCCTTTATATGGTTCCTTTCATCAGTCATATTTATCAGCTTCAAACCTATAATTCCTCCAGGAATATTTTTCGAAACGAGAACTTGTTCCGTCACTATCCATACATACCCAGCTCTTGTCATATTTAAGTTTGATGCATTATCAAAAATTATTTCAGCATCCTGAGCTCTGTAATATAAACAAAGAACCATTAATTTTAATGAACCAAGTATATAAAATAATTATATAATTTTTTTATGCGGATTACTTCTATTTTAGATATGTATTTTGGAAAAATAGATTTTTCTTTTTGAATATTGCAGCGATAAACAATATATAAAGAACGAGAGATTGATTACTGATAGATAGTTCTTTATTTAACTAAAGACAAAAAAGGAGAAAGAATAAATGAATGATCATCTTTATTTATCATGGGTAAAAATAAAAATATCTAAAAAATTATAGATTATAGATAAAATTATAGATTAACTATGTAACACTGGTGATAGCAAAAGTATAACTAACAAGGGGAGACAAGGACGTGTCCCTCTCCGATGTTTTTTTTAATTTTGCACACCAGTAAATTGTTGAAAAATATTAAATACGTGCTTTTTTTAGCTGCTGATACGATGATTAAGGGGGTGAAGACCACCCCTAAAGTTTACATTTAAATATCACCATTCAAACACTTTCACAAATATTTTCACTTCCAATCACTATTTTTGAACCAAATAAAACTATTTTTATTAACCCAATTGTAAAATCGACTTAGAAGTTTGCCTCCCTTGTAACATCACTTTCTTATGTCATCCAGAATCGTACATTAGAACAAAAACGTTATTGAAAGAGTGATCAGACTCTCTGTTATTGAGCTATTTGACCTTACGCTTTTCTTTTATATTTTCTAATAGTGAAATGTGCTTAATGGAACTATGTGGCCTTCAAAATAGGCTTTCTATTTCGTTTATTACCATATATTTAGCAAAGTGCCAAAGAAACTGATGCATCTACTGAGCTGAGCTCAATAGCGTCGCTATCAATTATTACAGACGCGTATAGTAAAAATTGTAATTGTAGAGCGTGAAATATATGATTCGGCTACTTTTGCTTAAGAGATTTATTCCTCTCTTAAGTTGAGCACGAAATCATGAAGGATTGGATAGGGTGACGAATAAGTACTGCTACTGTTAAAGAATTACTCATCATAGGTGTTAGCTAGATTTTTATTCAAACAGAGCTCGTACCACTAATCGGTGAAGTCTCGGGCTCAGACTTCCCCAAGACAGATATGACGAGCATATTTATAGATGCGAGTCGGAGCTATTTCCTTTAGATTATCCCCGCTATCTCGCCAGTACGTATAACATTAATTAGCTCATATTAGCTGCTTAGGTGAAATAGGACTTTTAGCCTAGAGAAAATCTTATTTTGTACAAATATTTATTTTAGTAAAATTGTCAATATGAATTATCATAGCAGTTATGAATTATTCATATCTAAGTGTAGGTCTAAAATAGTTTTGTTCCATTGAGCACATTTTACTATGTTTATATATTATTGTATAAAATTCAATCTATCTTTTATTTCGTCAAACAAAAATGAATTTTCTTTGCTACAGTTATTTTGATAAGTTGCGCGAAATTATTAGTTATTATACTTTTACGTTAAAATATCATCTTTTAATAAAACTCAAGTGTTCAAATTATATTTGTGTTGGGAGTAAGATAATTATAAGTCTCTTTAAAGGCTTACGATAATATTTTCATTCATTTAAAGGTCTTTGTTTTGAAAACTGTTTCGCAAGTTTAAAGGTCTGGCTACCTATGACATCATGCTCCTTATTTGTATATGAGTTGACCATCTATTTATGTTATGTAAAGTCAAAGATACTCTGAGCCTTAATACTTTTTTACATCAAACGATGAGCATGTTATCTTAATACAGATGCGGTAAACGAGCAAATCATACTGGACCGTTACAAATCCCCCCCATTAGCCTGGGTGAAAATTAATCACCAGGCGAATTACCCTTGGTGGTATGATTTGTTCGTTGTTTTTTTTTATATACATTAACCATTTAATACAATAAAAAAATCTTAAAATATAAGATTAGAGCCACCCTGCTCCAGGAGTTGGTAGCCTTTTAGATAGTGGTGACGAATCCATGGGTTGCTCTTCCAAGTCCTCCTTGATTTTCTGGATCTCGCTCCTTTTTTCTTTAATTTGCTCATCCAGCTTCCGTAATCGTTTGTGCATCCTTCGCCTTTGTTGCCTTCTGTAGGAAGGTACTTCAGGCTTAGGTGTAGGTGCAGCGGAACGAGGAGTGCTGAATGGGAGGAAAGGAATCTCTGATATTTCCCTTTTCTTTTTTGGTGGTTCTACTAAGAGCGAATCATCTTGGTTCCACCTTCTCGGCGTTTGGGTACCTTTACACATGAGAAAAGGCATCATATTTGACGAGCATTCAAAGGTTCCTTCTCTCAGATACGGAATATAGTCACGTAAATCCGAGAGGGAGGTTTGAGTACATTGATCTTTTTTGAAAGTGGCCATAGCCCAAAAATGCCGTGCTACAATTAACAGGTTGCGGTTTGCTTTGAATTTAGCCGATGATATGCAAAATGGTTATTAGTTTGATTGTTGTAGATCATACGACGTCTAGCGATTAATGGTAGTAAGGCTAACGATGTATGAAAATTTCCGCGAATTAGTCCGTTTTTGTACTGTAACGTATAAGTATCAATTCCTTTGACCGCCTTTACATAATAAGGTCCCTCGTACAAATCTATAAACTACTTGAATTTTTCTTCAGTTTTATCGGATGATGTTATACTACGTACTAATACTGCATCATTAGTTTTGTATGGTTTATATATTACGTTTCTGATGTAAGTGCTAGCCCTATTTGTAAGTTTTGTATGTACACGTTTACTTATCATCTCTAAATTACTGTCGTTTAGTGGATTAGTAGTTTCTCTCCACTTATGCCAAAATCTTTTTGGTTTTACTCCCATGCGTATTTCCATGGGTGTAATTTCGGTAGTTTCGTGATAAATTAAATTCATTATTTCTTGAATTTTTGGTATTAATGAGGCCCAATTTTTGTGATTATCACGTGTGTGAGCCCTTAAGAACCTACCTAATTCTCGGTGTATCCGCTCAACCATATTACTTTGAGGGTGGCGTATGCTCGAGAAAATAAGGTTGATATTCATTGAAGCCAATTTCTGTTGCCAAAACTTGGATGTAAACTGACTACCATGGTCGTAGATGATAGACTTTGGCTTTCCATATCTTGGAATATAATCATGAAAAATATTTTTTATTCTCGTGTGAGTAGTCGCCCATTTTACGGGGAACATTGCCATGAATTTACTGAATACATCTATGATGGTTAATATACATTTCGTACCTCCAGTTGATGTTGGCAAGGGTCCATAGAAATCTATTGATAGCAACTCATTTGGATTACTTACCAATATTGGTTGCATGATTGTATGTATTTTTTGCGTATTATATTTTGTTCTTTCGCATAGATCACACTGATTTACGATGCTTGCAACTTTTTTCTTTACTTTTTGAATATAAAAGTCCTCTTGCAAAATTATAAATAGCTTGCATGATCCGATTTGCCCATATATCTCATGTGTTTCTGTGATAAGCGCGTTAACTAATTGATCGGGAATCACTAGCTTATTTTTGCTGGGTTCCTTTTTAAAGATCATTTGGTCATTATCACGAAACGATTTGAAAAGGTGTTCAGTTTCTTTATTTTGGCTATACGAGTATAAGCATTCTGTTCTTGTACAGCGAGTAGTTCTTTAAAACTTTGGAGAAGAGCTAGAGAAGGATCCTTCAGTAGAACTGCGTTGTTGATTGAATCTTCATCGATGTCGTCGTCTTCTGATAGCTGCCTAGCTAGGAAGTCCGCTGCCTTGTTCTTGTTTCCAGGAAAGTATTCGCAAGTAATGTTATAGTCTTATCAAAACAAGCACCATCACATTAGTCTTGAATTAGTAAACCTACAGGTAGACAGGAACTTTAACGTTTCATGGTCCGTTCGAACAATTATTATGCACCTCTCAGGTATGTATCTAATTTAACACAAGACCACGCAACGACCAAAAGTTCTTTTTAAGTAGTAAAATAGTTAAGTTCAGCTCCTTTTAAAGTTCGAGATACAAATACAATGACTTCTTCCTCGCCATTTTCATTTAACTAAGATAGAGCAGCAGCTAAGATAGTGTAGCTTGCATCAGTGGTTAAAATACGAGGTCTGTCCAGAAATTATCGGGCCTACGTTTATCTTCGCGCCATAGTGTTCAAGGGACCTCTACCGGACAGAAACATCAACAGTAAAGTCTCACGAATCTATTGGTTTCTTACTGACACCTGCCGGACGTATAGTTCATGCGCAGCGTGTCTTTGTTTACAGTGCCTTTTTCGCGTTCCTCGGATTTTGATATTGTCAAAAATGACTGAAAAACAAGATCAACGAATTTGCATCAAATTTTGCTTTCAACTTGGAAAAACGAGTTCGAAAACTATTGAAATGATGCAAAAGGCCTTCGGAAACGAGTGTATGAGCAAAACACGAGTAAAAGAGCGGTATAAACGATTCAAGGATGGTCGCACTTCTGTCGATAGTGATTCTCGTTCTGGCCGACCTTCGACGACAAAAACCACAGATAATATTGAGCGGGTGCGACTTGCAATCAATCAAGATCGTCGTATGACTGTGCGAGAACTAGAAAAAAGATCTTGGAATACCAAAAACTATCATTTCAGAAATTTTAACTGAAAATTTAGGAATGAAACGCGTATGTGCGAAATTCATCCCAAAATTGCTCACAGCAGAGCAAAAGAACATTCGCTTAGAAATCGCTCTAGACAATTTGGAAATGGTCAATAATGATGATAATGTGCTTAGAAAAGTTATTACAGGTAATGAATCATGGGTTTATGGTTATGATCCTGAAACAAAACAACAATCTTCACAGTGGAAGCATTCTGAATCGCCAAGACCAAAAAAAGTACGTCAAAGTCTGAGCAATGTTAAGTCAATGTTGATTGTTTTTTTCGATTATGAAGGTGTTGTACATCACGAATATGCACCAACAGGTCACACAATTAATAAAGAATACTACGTTCAAATTTTAAAATGTTTACGTGATGCAGTAAGAAGAAAAC